TTTGGGATTCTAAAAGATCAAGGTTAAAATCTTTTGTAATGTAGCTAAGTTTCCTCTCTGAACTTATGATAGAGATAAGCTCGGAAAATTTATCAAGAAAATTCCTTAAATTAGCGTGGGGTCTTCTGTAGATTACTCCTACTAGGATATTTCGTGTGTCGTTACGTAATTCAATGAAAACACTCTCCATGTACTCCTCCTGAACCTTTAAATCATCTCTTATAGAAGTGTTATACTTGATATCAACATATAGGGTGACACCACCACTGTGTCGTGACGTGTTGACGCAGTGTCTATTATAATTAGGTATGTTATACAAATGGTCAATACCGTTAGTGAGTTTGGTCTCACAGAACCCAAATTTGTGGGAATAGAAGATATACACTGATCTATAAAGGTATGTAGGTGAAGGTGAATACTGCTGATGTTATGGCTAATTAAGGAGAAGGAATGAAGTAGTAGAAGACTAGAACTAAACTCGGGAGTCAGGAAAGTAATAGTTACAGTTTGGGTTGGTGTAACCCAGTGAGTTTTGTAGAAAGGCATCAGGGTCGATATGAGGGAGTATTGTGTCGACACCCTGGGTGAAGAGGGTGTAACACATACGGTCCAGCATCATCAGTGTGGGAATATTGGTACCGATTAAGGAACAGCAAAAACTCGGGGTCACTGAGGTGTGAAAAGGGAAGGTCAAAGAAAATTATTATAGTGGGGGGGGGGGGTAACGCACTTACAGTTGCTACAACCAACAGAATTAAGATGACTGGTGCTGTTGAGAGTAATTCACAGTTTGTGTGGGAGGTGCGCCCCTCTCTTGCTTATGTGGGTTACTGATTCCCACCGCAGAGGGTGGGCGTGTAGTACCCGAGTTGGCCGGCAGGGTGGGAAACTCCACAGGTGATAGCCAGGATGTGGGCAGTGGTAGTGGGATTTTTTTTTGTGTGTGTGTAGAGAAAGGATGGTTGAAAAAAGATTATAGGTGGGGGAAGGAAGTTATAGTTAAGAAATTGAAGAAATTTAGGAGGAGGTAGGAGAGGGCGGGCTGACTGCCTAAGCTAAGCTAATGGTGTGTTAGGGTTGTGTCAGGGGTTAGTTATTGTCTGTCGACACAGGCACTAGACATCCTACCCTATCCCATATATGGGTGTTTTAAGGGCCTTATTTCATATTCCGCCGACCCTACTGGCGGATGCTGGTCTAGGGAGGTTGTCTATTGCCTGGCTGTGTAGATCGGGGGTGGTAATGGACCTTTTGAGATTTGGTAACTTTTTGGGAACCATGTATGGTCGTTGTCGTTGTCTGGTGGGAGTCTTTGAAGGAGTTCTTGCTCTGATCATTCTATCTTTTGCCAGACTCTGCTGGCCAGGGTGTGCAGCTGCTGGTTGATGGGTTTTATTCTCAGGTCTCTATTCTCTATGTATTTCGGCTGTGGTTCTGGTGAAGAGGTATCTTTCACCTGTGACGAATCTTGGGTCTTCATTTTGGACCACCTGTAATTTTAATATTTGAGTGGTGCTCATAGTATGAAGAGGTATTGCTGGGTAAGTTAATATCGGTATGATAAATGATGTCACCAGGCGGAGTTTTATTTTCTCAGGAAGCAGTTTAAGGCGGTATAGTTTTCTCAGCTGTTCTCTTGCCTTTTCCTTCCTGGTGTGGACATAATGGGAGTAACCTGTCGTGGATATATGCAGGCCCAGGAGGGTGCCTCTGCTTTTGTATTCTATCTGGGCATTATTGGTTACTAATGGATGGGTTTTCCTTCTGCGTAAGGGTATCACTGTGAATTTCGGGAGACTGGTTTGGATTTTCTATTGTTTTTAGTAATTATTTACCCTTTCTAATTCCCGCCTGGTGTTGTCGACCTGTAACGCTCGCAATTTTCCTTGATGTGTTGTTATTTGAGTGATGTCATCTACATACATAATATCTTCGTTACCTATTCTAGTGGGAGGCGATGTGTCACTTGTGTAGATAATATATAGGGTGGGAGAGAGGACGCTCCCCTGAGGACTCCGCTCATGAGTGGGAAGGTCTCCCCTGTGTGTTGTTCTACCCTCAGTCTGGCATTTCTGCCGTCAAGAAAGTTGCAAAGCAACTTTTCAATTTTGGCGGGAAGTCCGAGTTGGAGGATCTTATATTTTAGACCGTCATGCCAGACTTTGTCAAATGCCTTCGCTACATCCCGGAGAGTTAGATTACATTGTCTACCACTCGCCGCGGCTCTGTCTATGTTTTCACATGCCAGGGCTATCGCTGTTGTGGTGGACTTCCCTTTCCTGAATCCGATGTCTGCAATTGTCTCTGTTGACTGTTTCCAGGTGACTTCTCAGACGGTTATTGGTGATTTTTTCTAGTATTTTTCTAGGTACTTCGAGGGAGATCGGTCTATAGTTTAGTGGGACGGCTGGATTCTTTCCTTGTTTTGGTGTTAGGGTAACAGTGGCCTCTTTGAATTTAGGTGGGAAGTAACCCGAGGCCAGGCAAGCATTCATTGTAGTTCTCAGTCTCTCCATGGCCGGTTTGTTTATGTGGCTGAGGATCTCCATGGTGATGCCCGAGTAGCCAGGGGTTTTATTTTTGGTATTAGAGATGGCTGTGTTTAGTTCTTCTGAGGTGATTGGTTTGGACAGTGGGCTGTCCACTCCCAGATCCTCCCATATGATTTCAGGTTAAGGCTGAGTGCGGTGCGTCTGGCCTAGGAGTTCATCAAGGACGAGCTCCTCGTGGGGACCATCGAATCCCCTGTTCTCTTCATTTGTGATTCGGAAGATGTTCCTCCATATGTCCCTGAATATCGGTTCTTTGTCTTGGTCGTCATATATTTAACTTCCTGTGTGGTCAGTTATATATGATGACTCGTTACGGCTGGAAGCTTTCAGTCTCTTAACTCGACGCCAGAACCCTCCTGGGTCGTTGAATGTATGTGAGAGTTATTCAACTATTTCGGCCCATTTGAGATTGCTTCATTCCAGAGATCTTGTTTTTATTTCCTCCCGTATTCCTCTGTATGTATTGTAGCTTACGATGTCCCAACCATGGGTCTCGGCTCTCTGTTGTAGCAGTTGGAACTGGTTTGTGAGGGCTATGAGTTCTGGAGTCTGTTGTGGGTGTGGGAGAGTTCTGCTGCATTTGAGAGGCGTGGCCTCCTGGTAGGCTGTTCCTATGGCTTCACACCATGTGCTGATTTCTTCGTCTATTTTCTTCACCGGCTGATTGTCTATAGTCTGCAGGATTGTCATGTCCTTGGCCTCAAGTTTGGCTGTAGCTTTTTCATTGAATAGTTCCCAGTCGGTCTGCTTGGCGATCCTCCGTGGTGGAGCTGGTATAGTTACTGGTGATGCTGAGATGGTCATGATTATAGGCAGGTGGTCGCAACAACATTATTGGTTGTCCTCTTATACCCTACCCTACCCTACCTTACCCTTTGTCAATCAGAAATCCCAATTTACTACGAATGTTGCGTGAGTCGAAGACGAGATGGAGAGGGGGTGACGGAACTGAGAACTACTAAAGTGCATTGGGTGTCGAGGGGGACAGCAAGGTCACCTGATATAAGTCATTTTACATGTTTGAATATATAGTGTACACACACACACACACACACACACAGAACTGTAGTGGGTGAATCATATTTATTCCCGTAGAACAAACACAAATTCAAGGTACTGTGCGCCCAACTCTCTCCTCTCAGATGGTCGAGGTACATCACTGTGTTATGTCTGCTAGGTGTACGTGTGTGTGTGTGTGTGTGTGTGTATCAGTAATGGTCCAGTATGAGTGCTGCCCTCTTGTGGTCTGCGTGCAAATAAGTTGTGAATGAGATAGTCTCATGCTTCATTGTACTATGGTGAATGAGACAGTTTCCATTCCTTAAATGTATTGTAGTAGTTTACCCGTTTGTTAAATAATATACAGTGCCCTGTAGTCACTCTGAACCCTGCCGTCACCTGTACAAGTTCCTCAACAAAGCAATTCTTGAAGTTCGTGTTTACTTACCCCACCATGAGCGAAGAGAAACCAAACAGTCACCAGGTGCTAGAGGTGTGGCGGGGGGAAGGGGGTGGGAGGGCAGGAGAGAGAGGATGGGAGGGGTAGGAGTTGTAGTGGAGGAGAGGGGAAAAATGTTTGGTTGGGGGTGGTAGTAGGAGGTGGTGGTAGTTGTGGTAATCTTGGTTGGCACCGAAAGAACGACCAGTTCACAGACATCCTCACATTTCTGTCATACATGAATATTTACAAAAACACTTGCTGGCTGACTGGCTTGCGGGCGTTCACACATCCCCGCGAATGAGTTTTTTTTTTTTTTACAAATACGTAAAATCATGTAAATATTGGTTCATATTAGACTCTTTTATTTACAGTTCATTTTCATATCGGACACACCATGTAAATTTTCTTACTACCTTGAGTCACAAGAAATCACTGAAGCCCATATACTGGAAATAAGTATGTGAGAGCTTTGTCAGGTTGCCCTTGGTCGAATCGGCTTGTTCTTTACCATTGTAGGTTGACCTTTACATTGTATACCTGTACTCTCTATAGACACGATGAAACAATTTGAACTATGAGTTTGCTGAATAAATAGTATTCTAGCCATTAACCAATAATAATTTCGTAGCGTTTCCTTTTGATAAATTTTCTGTATGTTGCTTTGTGCAGGTACATGTTTTTAAATGTGTGGATAAGAACAAAATAACCATATTATGTCATTATTTGTTATTAAATTTTTATAAGTAAAAATTGTGTGTAAGGCAACAGATGGTGAGCAAGTTGGCGGTTACTCATTATTATTTCCTGAAGTATCTTTATTTCCTTTACTTATCCTTCAGGCCTTTTCAATATATGATATTTTATTATTAATACGACAAACAGGTCGAGATAATAATGAAGAAATGCAAGTTTTATGAATGTTTACAGTAATAAGGAGCTAACGCTTCGGAGTTTAATAACTCTAACAGAGTCTCCCGACTCCCGTGGTCGAAACACGAGTCCCTTCACTCCCGAGTTCAGTCGTCTCCTGGCCGGTGTTGAGTGAGGTTGTATGACGCTACCGCTCCTGGACACTCTCTGTGAACTTTGAACTGTATTGAACTTTCTCGTTTAGAGCCCACCGTCATTCACCTACCTTTAATAATTGGAAACTGATCATAAGATGGAAGCGTTCAGATAACGAGGGAGCGTAGTGGGGAAGATTTGACGTTGAAATAAAAGTTTTATTTAATTTTGACTTCAGCTCTCATCATAGTCAATAGAGATCAGTTTAACCATGGGTGGGCAACAGGTGTGGGCGGTGTGGGTGGTGGTGGCGTGTGTGGGTGTGGTGCTGAGCTTCAACGTCGAGACAGATTATTTCGTAGTGCACACAGGACCTCCCGACAGCAAATTTGGATTCAGTGTCGCCCAACACCGAGACACCGCGGGCAGCTGGTAAGTGTCAATCTGTCTGTCTGTCTGTCTGTCTGTGTTTGTCTCTTATCTTACATGTATTTTCACGTTTCATTTCTGCTCTCTCTCTCTCTCTCTCTCTCTCTCTTTATTACACTTCATCTAAGTGTCATCAAGTCCATCTCACCTCTCTTTTTTCATTATTCCTCTCATCACCATCACCATCTCCACTATCATCATCATCATCATCATCATCATCATCATCACTACCATCATCATCACCACTACCATCATCATCACCACTACCATCATCTTCATCACGTCTCATCACCTCAACAGCTACGCATCACCTTAGCAATGTTCCTTGCTAAACTTTCAATTCCTCGTCATTCAATCTTATGGTTTACCACTGTATACTTGTACTGTCTGTATATATATTAGGTTTATTTGTCGTCAGTGTTAGGTTTATTTGTTGTCAGTGTTAGGTTAGGTTTATTTGTTGTCAGTGTTAGGTTAGGTTTATTTGTTGTCAGTGTTAGGGTTTATTTGTTGTCAGTGTTAGGTTAGGTTTATTTGTTGTCAGTGTTGGGTTGGTTTATTGTTGTCAGTGTTAGGTTAGGTTTATTTGTTGTCAGTGTTAGGGTTGGTTTATTTGTTGTCAGTGTTAGAGGTTTATTTGTTGTCAGTGTTAGGTTAGGTTTATTTGTTGTCATGTTAGGTTGGTTATTTGTTGTCAGTGTTAGGTTAGGTTTATTTGTTGTCAGTGTTAGGGTTGGTTTATTTGTTGTCAGTGTTAGGTTAGGTTATTTGTTGTCAGTGTTAGGTTGGTTTATTTGTTGTCGTGTTAGGTTAGGTTTATTTGTTGTCAGTGTTAGGGTAGGTTTATTTGTTGTCAGTGTTAGTTGGTTTATTTGTTGTCAGTGTTAGGTTGGTTTATTTGTTGTCAGTGTTAGGTTGTGGTTTATTTGTTGTCAGTGTTAGGTTAGGTTTATTTGTTGTCAGTGTTAGGTAGGTTATTTGTTGTCAGTGTTAGGGTTGGTTTATTTGTTGTCAGTGTTAGGTTAGGTTTATTTGTTGTCAGTGTTAGTTGGTTTATTTGTTGTTGGTGTTAGGTTAGGTTTATTTGTCAGTGTTAGGTTAGGTTTATTTGTTGTCAGTGTTAGGTTAGGTTTATTTGTGTAGGTTAGGTTTATTTGTTGTCGTGGTTTTTAGTTGTCAGTGTTGTAGGTTTATTTGTTGTCAGTGTTAGGTTAGGTTTATTTGTTGTCAGTGTTAGGTTAGGTTATTGTTGTCTAGTTTGGTTTTTTTTTGTCTAGGTTGTTTATTTGTTGTCAGTGTTAGGTAGGTTTATTTGTTGTCAGTGTTAGGTAGGTTTATTTGTTGTCAGTGTTAGGTTAGGTTTATTTGTTGTCAGTGTTAGGTTAGGTTTATTTGTTGTCAGTGTTAGGTTAGGTTTATTTGTTGTCAGTGTTAGGTTAGGTTTATTTGTTGTCAGTGTTAGGTAGTTATTTGTTGTCAGTGTTAGGTTAGGTTTATTTGTTGTCAGTGTTAGGTTAGGTTTATTTGTTGTCAGTGTTAGGTTAGGTTTATTTGTTGTCAGTGTTCAGCAAATTTTCTCGTCTTTATATCGTAGTTGTTTTTGGTATTCAGCAAGTTTTCTATCGTCATCTGTGGTTATCTTTGTTTTCGGTGTTCAGTAACTTTTGTCATCATCTGTGGTTATCGTTCTCGGTAAAGGCCACAGGCTGGTCTTGGGTGGGGGCTAAAGCCCTCAGATATCATTTTGTGTTTTTATCCCCGTAACGCCCGACCACCCACTGTAGCTGACGTCAGTGTGGCCTGTTTGAGACAAGTAGCCTTATTTACGGTGACGGATGAAAACACACCAAGATATATAGAAAAATGAAAGGAACACAACAAGATTAGCTCCTCCCCCGTAGATTATTTCACCAGATGAGTAAACACCCAAATGTTACCAAAGGGTTAGGGTTAGATTGGGAGGTTTAGAAGGATTGGGGTAGTTTGGTTAGGTTGATTGGGGTATTTGGTTAGGTTAGATTGGGGTAGGTTTGTTAGGATTGGGGTAGGTTTGGTTGGGTTAGATTGGGTAGGTTTGGTTAGGTTAGATTGGGGTAGGTTTGCTAGGGTAGATTGGGGTGGCTTGGTTAGGTTAGATTGGGGTAGGTTTGGTTAGGTTAGATTGGGAAGGTTTGGTTAGTTAGATTGGGGTAGGTTTGGTTAGGTTAGATTGGGGTAGGTTTGGTTAGGGTTAGATTGGGGTAGGTTTGGTTAGGTTAGATTGGGGTAGGTTTGGTTAGGTTAGATTGGGGTAGGTTTGGTTGTTGATTGGGGTAGGGGTTAGATTGGGGAGGTAGGTAGATTGGGGTAGGTTTGGTTAGGTTAGATTGGGGTAGGTTTGGTTAGGTTAATTGGGTTGGTTAGGTTTGGTTAGTGGGGTAGTTTGGGGTTAGATTGGGGTAGGGTTTGGTAGGTTAGATTGGGGTAGGTTTGGTTAGGTTAGATTGGGGTAGGTTTGGTTAGGTTAGATTGGGGAGGTTTGGTTAGGTTAGGGTAGATTTAGATTACGTTAGGTCCACTATATGTTCAGGTTAGGTTATATTAAGTCAGTTAGGCTATGTTAGATGAGGTTAAATTATTTTGTGTTAGGTTCACTTAGATTAACTAAACTCCGTATTCTCTAAGAATAATAAAATGTTTCTTTTGTCGTAACTGCGGGCAAGAACACACCTAACCCTAGGTATTATTTCACTTGTTGCCGCTATACAAACCTCGTGTTTTTTTTGTGTTTTGTTTGTGTTTTTTAAAGGGGATTAGCCCTTCCGAGCACAGGTCATCGACCCACAACGGGGCCTGACGCAAAGAAAAAAATAAGAGTTAAAGTAAAATAAAAATAGAAAATAAAAAGATTATATTAATCTACTGTACACCACGAAGATGCCGGAAAACCAGCTTTTTCAAGTGAGACAGAGCAATGAGCAGTTTTGACAATTATAAGACACTTTTTTTCAAGGGCATTTCCGGTGCAAATTACGTTTAAGCGAGATATTTAACATTTTATTATTCCTAACCTAACCTAACATTACCTAACATTCTTTCTTTGCAATATCTGACTTCTCCAGCAAGGTGAAGAAGAAGAAAAAGACGAAAATAAAGACGTAGGAACTATTGTTGAAAGTGTTGATTGCGGGCATCAAAATCCGAACAGATTTTTGTTTATTTGCTTCATTTCTTTTGTTTTTGTTTCACGTGGATATAGAGTCGATATTCATCAGTGTTGGGTGGTGGTGTATATCTTTGTCTTGCCCTACAGCACCACGGTATATGCAGGTCGATTCACGCCCCTCGACCTTCACCTTTTTTTTCGCCTCGCCATTCCTCTTGCCTCGCCACACCTCTCGCCTCGTCTCACCTCTTGCTTCACGCCTCATCTCTCCATCTCCACACCTCTTGCTTCACGCCTCATCTCTCTCGCCACACCTCTTGCCTCATCTCACCTCTTGCTCCACGCCACACCTCTTATCTCACCTCTTGCTCCACGCCACACCTCTCCATCTCCACCCTCTGCTTCCGCCTCATCTCTCTGCCACCCTCTTGCCTCATCTCACCTCTTGCTTCACGCCTCATCTCTCCATCTCCACCTCTTGCTTCACGCCTCATCTCTCTGCCACACCTCTTGCCTCATCTCCCTCTTGCTCCGCCTCATCTCCATCTCCCCTTGCTTCACGCCTCATCTCTCTCACCACACCTCTTGCCTCATCTCACCTCTTGCCCACGCCAACCTCTTGCCTCATCTCACCTCTGCTCCACGCCACACCTCTTGCCTCATCTCACCTCTTGCTCCACGCCACACTCTCCATCTCCACACCTCTTGCCCGCCTCATCTCTCTCGCCACACCTCTTGCTCATCTCACCTCTTGCTCCCGCCCCCTCTTGCCTTTCACCTCTTGCTCCCGCCTCTCTCCATTCCCACCTCTTGCTTCACGCCTCATCTCTCTCCACACCTCTGCCTCCCTCTTGCTCCACGCCACCTCTGCCTCATCTCACCTCTTGCTCCCGCCTCATCTCCATCTCCACACCTCTTGCTTCCGCCTCTCTCTCTCGCCACACCTCTGCCTCCACACCTTGCCTCCACACTCTCACACCTCACACCTCCAGGGACAACTTATGTGTAGCTGATTTACATTTCTGGTTCGTATTTGAATTGTACACAGAGCTGACGTTATAAGAATGTATATACCTAACTGGTTATAACAATGTATATACCTAACTGGTTATAAGAATGTATATACCTAACTGGTTATAACAATGTATATACCTAACTGGTTATAACAATGTATATACCTAACTGGTTATAACAATGTATATACCTAACTGGTTATAACAATGTATATACCTAACTGGTCATAACAATGTATATACCTAACTGGTTATAAGAATGTATATCTAATAAATGTATATACCTAACTGGTTATAACAATGTATATACCTAACTGGTTATAAGAATGTATATACCTAACTGGTTATAGAATGTATATAAACTAACTGTTATAACAATGTATATACTAACTGGTTATAAGAATGTATATACCTAACTGGTTATAGGAATGTATATACCTAACTGGTTATAGGAATGTATATACCTAACTGGTTATAACAATGTATATACCTAACTGGTTATAACAATGTATATACCTCTGGTTATAAATGTATATACTAACTGGTTATAACAATGTATATACCAACTGGTTTAAAATGTATATACCTAACTGTTTAGAATGTATACCTAATATAATTTATAAATGTATATACTAACTGGTTTGTTACTTTAACAATGTATATATACCTAACTGGTTATAAGAATGTATATACCTAACTGGTTATAAGAATGATACCTAACTGGTTATAACAATGTATATACCTAACTGGAGAGGTATATACAGTACATTACAGTGGAACTCTACCTTAATTGGATATGTTAGATGGGACCAGTTAACTAGGAGACAAGATTACGCCGACAGACT